AAATATTTCATTTAATGTATTAAATCACTATAAGATCAAATTCAAATTCCCTACCGTGGTACCCAAGGCTGAGCTTTTTTTTTTTTTTTTTTTTTTTTCGGTTCGCCGGCCTCTCCCCCGTTTTTCCCCTCCTCTTTCGCGGAGCACAGGCTCCGGACGCGCAGGCTCAGCGGCCATGGCTTACGGGCCTAGCCGCTCCACAGCATGTGGGATCTTCCTGGACCGGGGCACGAACCCGTGTCCCCTGCATCGGTAGTGGACTCTCAACCACTGCGCCACCAGGGAAGCCCCCAAGGCTGATCTTTGACACCTACCTTTTCCACCTCATCTACCACGTTTTCACCACTATGACTTATTGGAAAATCAAGCTGATGTACTTACAGTTCCCCCAACATCTCATGCTGTTTTATGCTTCTATGCACTTGCCGTATGCTTGCCTCTGTCAATAATGGCGGGTATCCCTTTATCTGCAGGTTGAAATCCTCATTCAGGAATCACCTCAAGTGTTGTCTCTCTTGGGAAGTCTCTCTTGTCCTTCTTGGCAGAATTAAGCAATTTTCCCTTTGTGCTTCCATAGTACCTTGTGTCAGCTTGTTGTAATAATTGACTGTAGCTCTGGAAGGCAGATATTTGGTTCTCTTTCATCTGTATATCTCCGCATCTGACGTAGCACTCAGAAAGTAACTGATCAATGCACAGGCCGTTGAGTGAGAGAAATTGAGATTTTGGTGTCTCTAGTGTGGGCAATGGAATATATACACAGAGATGCCATTAAGCGTGTTAATAAATACACAAGGTTTTGGGAGTAGGGAGAGCACTGATAAAGATGACTAAACAAACAAGTTAGGGGTTTGAGTGGCCAAGACCCATGTAGGGAATGGGAAGACATTCCAGGTTGGTAGCTGAAGGGCATATACATGATGCTTGAGGAAGTCACAAAAATACTATGTTTACGGTAATATATTCATGTCTCTTTCTCATTATCAGAATAATGTGATCCAGAAGGCTAGGAACACCTACCGAGATCTTGGTGGGAGGGATCAAAGTGACTACCAGGCTTGTTTCTTATCTAGGCTTTAAACTAGATGGCTCAAGAAGTTCTTGTGGTTCACTCACTGTCTAATTCAACTTGCTAAACATATTGTTTCTAGTTGTCAAAAACATGAGTGGCAATAAACAAGTCAATATGCCTGTGTGCCCTCTGCACAGCCCCCATAAGAATTTGTAGCAGGGGTAATTGATAGGAGAGTCCGGAATTCTCATGACCGCCATAATTTGGCAGCGTAAGGCAAACACATGCACAGAAGACTGGAATTTGGGAAACAGAGTCTCTTGGGAACCTCAAACTGTGGGAACAGCTGTAAATTTCATAGACAGTGTTCCACATGGAGGGGACATGGCTCCTGTGCTGGAAAAGGGATAGGCAAAAACATGTTGGCCGGATGGGAATTCATTTTCTGTGCCAGGATGGACTCTGCATGAGTAGCTGCATGTCTGCTGGGTAACATCTCACATGGAGCGAGGGAGAATCTAATTTTGGAAGGGATGAAAATTTGTTTTAAAGGCCAGAGAGGGTTCACACCAAAACCCTCAAACTTCCATGGGGCGTGTATTTGGACTTGCTGACTGGTGTGACCTCAGTACCCTGGATTATCTTTTCTGTTTTCCTGACTTTCAGCCAGAGATAAGAGGTGGGCGTGTTTTTCAGCTTTTATTATGGGAATCCAAATTTGGGAATCCAGAATGTCAACCACAGGGGCTTTTGTTATAAAGGGGATTTTCTTGACTTATGTATCACCAAATTATTTATTTAAATGCACGGTCCAATGTAGACTTTAACAGAACCAAAGTTTGTGACTCCTTGCTGCTGAGCAAACCTAGTTCCTAGAACCAGACGAAACTGTGAAAGTTTTCTTTTTTCTAATTAATTAATTAATTAATTAATTAATTTTTGGCTGTGTTGGGTCTTCGTTTCTGTGCGAGGGCTTTCTCCAGTTGCGGGGAGCGGGGGCCACTCTTCATCGCGGTGCGCGGGCCTCTCACTGTCGCGGCCTCTCCCGTTGCGGAGCACAGGCTCCAGATGTGCAGGCTCAGTAGTTGTGGCTCACGGGCTTAGTTGCTCCACGGTATGTGGGATCTTCCCAGACCAGGGCTCGAACCCGTGCCCCCTGCATTGGCAGGCAGATTCTTAACCACTGCGCCACCACGGAAGCCCCCTGTGAAAGCTTTCTTGACCAATGAGTGTGGTTATTTGCATGTGAACAGAAGATTGTTGCTTGGATTTTGAGATGAGATCTCTGGGAATTCAGGGATAAACAAGGTCAATGAAGAAAGTGATTATTGAAATCAACACATAAACTGTGGGAAAGTGAAAGCAGCATCAGGAGACATTCAAGATTGGGAAAGTGGGGCCCATCCTACTCTAACTTGAATGGTTTAAAGTTTACAAAGCCCAGCTGAAGGGGTAGAGTAATATCTGAGTGACCTAGGACCCCAGAGGAAGTAGGGTCAGATCTGATGTATCTGGAAAAGAGAAACTAGAAATGTTTATGTTACCATCAAAACAGGAGAAGTTGCTCACATCCTAGTGAATTTTGAAGCTGAGGAAAGCAGAGTTTGGGAGAAAAGCAGTTGGATTATAACACAATTTCTTATGGTTCCTTTGGGGCCAGACTTAGAAACAAGAGGGGAATGTTAAGTTGTGAAACGTGTGGAGAAGGATTCCACTCAAATGTGGACATAAAGGGGAGACTTTCCGTTGGTAACTGGAAATTGCAAGTTGAAAACATTTCTGAACAAGAGTTACGGTTATGAGAATGGCAAAATCGGTCTGATTTTGTATTCTGGTGGAGACATATTGAAAGAAGAGCCAAAGGTTGGAAATTAGAGGGATTACATATTATAAAGTGTGTTACCCTGTTCATAGGAGAGAGAAGAGTCCAAAACAGAGACTCCTGTCAATTCCATGTTGGATTCCAGGAAAGCCTTACTGGAGTAGCACCATTAGGCAAGGAATTGTGCATAATCCCATGCACACAAATGGAAATGTTCTGTATGTGTATGATCATCCTCTCTCATGGGCATTGTCACCAAACATAAATGTGAGATTTCTTAATCTAGACTTTAAGATGATAGAATTATACTCACAGCAAAGGTAAGACACCAGGGAAAGTGGGGTTTGGCTCCTTGTGGTTTAGGGGTAATTTCTCTCTATGCTTCTCTTACTGCTAGATACCAGGGTAAGGAACCAGACCCATATACAATCCTGTGTTGATCACTAGGTGTGGCAGTTAGATCCCAACCCTAACTCTACTCCCAAGGACACCCTAATGAACAATTATTACACCTCTAATATTAGTCAGAAGTTCTAGTACTGTAATAGAATGAAGGATTAAAAATCTAATGCATGAACATATTCTGTATAAGGAAATTTAATTTTATTTAATTGCAGATTGAAGAATGCATAAATACATTAACTATCATATTTTTAAGATAATGAATGTACCCTTGGACTAGAAACACCCAAGGTCCTCAATTAACTATATTAGAACAAAAGTATCTTCAATTTTAAAACAAATGTAATCTCTTATTAAACACACAGTGGCCAAATATGAGGTTTCTTCTTAAACCTTCTTATCTGATTTTTCTCTCTCTTCAGCATTTTAAAGGCATTAATACACATAACTCTAGCCACATGACTATTGCTATAAAGATTTAAAGGGGCACAGTTAAAAGACTCCCACATGGCTTTAAACGGTAGTATTAAATACATTTGAGTGCTACACAAGTAATTAGCCATAGGCAATTAATTATAGTTCACTTGGTGACTATAGCCATATTTCAGACTCTTTGAAAGACTCAAAACTCCCTGTAAATAAAAGTAGGATTATTTTCATTTCAAAGAACAAAACTGGAAGAGGATCCCACGGGTGGTCTGTCACCCACTAGATTGCACATGTGACTGTATAAAAATAACTTTCTGAGGGCAAAGATCGATGGCTTTCCTTAAAGAAGAACATCAGGACTCAATAACTAATTAGCTTGTGTCTTTCTGTTCCTGTAATTGCAAACCACGCTGGAATCAACTTTCTGAAAGTGTGAAATAGCTATTACTATACACGGCTTGCTTCTACCACCTTCTATTTTTACACTTGGGATATTTCTTTTCTATGGACCTAATTCAGCCAAAAATTTATATAAGAATTCTCTCATGTCCAAAATACAAATATAACGTTTTTTCTAGGGTGAAACGAACACTTTTAAGAAGAACATGAGGAAAAGGTTCAGGTTAAGGAGCTGAATGTTAGAAGTCAAGAGCTATAGACTCTTCTTTATCTTCAAAACAAACCCATGTCAATTCTCATTCTGGAATAGGCATCTCGTAATTTACTTCATTTTTGTACAGTATAATAGACATCTATATATATTATCAACTCAAACTCATTAAAAGGATCCCTGCAGGCAAGTTGGTTGAGAGATTGAGTGGTTTTATCATAAGCAATATTTTAAAATGGACAGCTGAGTAGAAGTAAATAGCAACATAAAGATAGATTGCATTTTCATAAAACGTCATTACAACTAGCTGAAAAATGAAAGAAAAGGAACCCAACCAGTGAGATCTACGTATACCAAATATTTTCCAGTAAATGCCCAGTTGATTGATTATAGCACTAGAGTATTGTGTCCCCTGCCATGTTCACTGTTGGCTGACAGTGTGTAAAAGTGAGGCCACAATTGATGTAGTCATTATTGCAGACACTTTTAGACCTACAGGGTACTGTGATAACTGCATGACTCCTTCTCATTCTTTAGGTCTTAAATATTCTGTCCTCAGATAATTCTTTGTTGATACTACTCTATCTGAAGAGACCCTCTCTCTGTCTAAGCACTTTCTCTCTTAAAATCACTTTCGTTCCTTCAGAACAATTATCACAATTTTTAATTATCTCATTTTTTAAAATGTTCTTTGGGGTAATTGTCTTTTTCTCTCCTCCAGAATGGAAGCTGCATGAGGACCTTGCTTATCTTCTCTATCAATACCTAGCTCAGTGCTGGGCACGTCAAAGACCCTCAGTAAATACTTGCTAAATATATGGATTAATGAAGAAAGAATATAGAGCTCTGTCAAGGTCAGTCAGTAATGTCAATAATTGATCAACTATATGCTGGTGTGATGGGGGAATACAAAGAATTATATGTCCTCCAATTACTTTTTTTAGGTATAGAAATCAGGCATTTATAAGCACATGTAGCTGTACAGGTGTCATCCTATAAACTAAGGATGCAAGAAAAATAACTTTATCATTCCATGCCTGATTTCTATTTTGAGAACTGATTCAGCTGGTAGAAATAATTAAAGTAATGTGGCATCACCCCCACTGAGTTAGATTTAATTTCAGGTAGTTGACATATTGCCAAAGTGTTCAGTGGTTACATTAGTCTACTGGTCATTACTGAGCCACAGTGACCACAAGTGAGATGCCTGTCACCCACTATTTGATCTGTCCTGGTCAGATAAAATCCTCCTTCTTTCTGTCCTGAAAGTTTCCTCCAAGCCTTGTCTTCGTCCACACACTTGAGCCTTGCTCATCAGCCCCATATCCCTATTCTGGCTCACAGGAATATGGAAAGACATAGTGGGAGTCAAGTAATTTTTAATGGTTTGAAACAATAATCATTTATTTGCTCCCAATTCTGCAGGTCAGCAATTTGGGCAGGGCTCAGCTGGGATGGTTTCACTTCTGCTCCACATTGTTTTGGCTGAACTCCTGTATGCATTCCACAGGTAGGCTGGGGCTGGCTTGTTCTTAATGGCTTGAGACATGTGTCTGACAGTTGCTTGGGGCTGTCAGCCAAGGTACCTTAATCCTCCTCCATATGTTCTCTCCACATGGCAGCTGAATCCCCCCCAAAAGTAAGACCTAATGCACAAGCACTTATCCAGCTTCTGTTTGCATTGCATTTGCTAATGTACTGTTGGCCAAAAAAGTCACATAGCCAATTCTAGAATCATTGAGGGAGGGGATTACACAAGGAGAAGTGAGTCATTAAGGGAACAAGCTAGATGATATTTGCAGTCAGCAAAAGACTAGGAGCTGTATCTTTTCTAAACACTGTTATGTCTTTGGATATGATTACCAGCCCAGAGATCACATAATTAGAAGGAGAGACAAAAGAAGTCCTGGTTTTGTGTCCATGCTTTCATGTCTCAGGCAGCGTACCCTGATAAGTCATTGTTAGAACCATCACTATGAAATCCAAGGCAGAGTAAAAAGGCTTGTTAAGTAAATCCTTGCTGTGAAAAAGTGATACCACCAAATATTGGAAACAACATCTCACATTCATTCTGAGAAACAAAGAAGAACACATCAAGAATTAAAGAAGCATTTGGGGTTACTTAGAAAATTATTAGCTTAGCAAATCTTTCTTATGTAATTGGTATTTGAGGCAGCTTAGTGGAAAGGGATGTTATTGTGCTTTTATTAAGCATCAAATATTTAATGTATTCATATAACACATTTTGAGAAAAATCACCCTTTTGCAATAGGCAATCTTGACTGTACAGTGCTATCAAACTTTATTGCTCATTTTGCAGTCATGAGGGAGAGTTCAGTTTTAATGAAACAGGAAATATTTTGATTAGCCTAGCAATTTTTATTGAAACATTTATAGTATTCTAAAATGATTAAGTAACAATAATTAATGCAATATCATTTCTTAGTACAAAATAAAAATGGTTATTATCATTATGCAGTGTAAGATAAAATGGGTTGCTTTATATTTGATTAAAACAGGCCTTGTTGGCCAAAGCCCCTCCTGTGAGTCATGGCAAGTGGTGCCAGGGTGTGAGCTAGCCAGGTCCCAGCAGCTTTTGGATTTCCATAAACATCCATGTTTAAAACGGAAGCAAAATCCTTCAAAAGATCTTGAACTGTGTTGAAGTGAGGATGAAATACACTGCTGACCTGAGAGCTGGCACCGCAAACGGAGTTTCCGTGCTCTTTGATCAATACTGAGATGGGCTGAGGGTCTCACGAGGGAGAAGAACTGCGTAGGTTACGCAGTCAAGATCCCTCCTTCTGTAGATGAGGAAGCTGACGCGCGGGGAGGGTCAGTGAAGTGATGGACGAGCCCACAGCTGGTCGGTGGTTGAGACGGGTCAGAACATCCATCCCCTGGCTCTGACTGAGGCTGGTGTGTGAGGGGTCGAGAGTGTCAGTGCAGGGACGCAGAGCTCATCCACACCTGGCTGCCGGGACAGCTGTTAGTGATCCTTGAGCACAAGGCGCTGTGATCCACGTTGTAGGAAGAATGGTCTGGGGGTCATGCTCAAGGCCAGGCGGTGGCAGAAAAGCAGGGGGCAGGGAGGCCACTAGGGACACCCTGGCCCAGGAGGAGGCCCATAGTTGGGGTGGGGGCAATGAGGTATGTTTTAGGGAACATCCTGGGTGGACCAGCTTGAGAACATTTTACAGAAATAATTTGTTGGATACATTACTTTCTAAATAAATTAAAGATTGCTAATCCTTAAAAAAAAAAAAAAGGGTTGCTTTATTCAGAATCAAGTCACAAAGGAGAACACATAGATTGTACAAAGTTGCTTCCCTAACCTATTTCCTGCTCACCCTCAGTGTTCCAGTGTTCTCTAGTAGTGCAAACAGGACACAGACCCCAGGTATTTCCTGTATGTTACTGGAAGTCTATGGAGGAGACTAGTTTTGTGAAAAAACAAAGTGAGACAAAACCTCCAGAGGCGAAAAGCAAGCAGCTTGCTTGAGGGCGTCTTTTCAGTGACTGATGAAACTAGGTTAGATGACAAGATAACAATATCTAATCTAATCTAACCATGCAAGAATCATTATGTCAACCATATTTTAGCATAGGAAAGAGAAGAACAACTAATGTTTAGCATGTTTGCTGTGTGTCAGGCACTGCTCTGATTACTTCACACATAGTATTTCCTTTAGACATTGGAAAACTCTGTGTGTGACAACTAATGCATGATATCGTTGACTAAGTGACAAAAACGTTCTTAGAATTTCTCTGCTATCTTGTATGCAGAACAGATAACAAAAAGATGAAGAGAAATGGAAATGAAAGGGTGAAGGAAATGATTTTTATATCGCATTCCCCCTGAAGTCCTCCATTATTAATCATTTATTAATATGTTTCTGGATTTCCTTAAAGTGTATCTATCTGCTACATGACGATCTTTCCATAAACAGACCATAGGTGAAATAAACACTTAACCTTTTAGTTTTGCTTCTTTACGGTCATCATCAGTATTACTTACATGTAAAATCTACAGTTTGGCAACAGATTTCCTTTTGAACACTATTAGTTACACCCTTGGCAAATGGACATTTGGATAGTTTCCAGTTTGGGGCTATTGTGATAGTGCTACTAGGAATATTCTAGAGTATGTTTTTGGAAGAGTACACATTTTGATTGGGTATTTGCTGGATTAGAGGATATGGAAATGATCAGCTTTGGTAGACACAGTCAAACAATTTTCCGAAGTGGTTGAATCAACTTTCTTTCTACCATTGTTTATGAGAGTTCTGGTTACTTAACATCCTCACCAACATTTACAAATCTTTGCTTTTTGTTTTTTTTTTTTTTGCGGTATGCGAGCCTCTCACTGTTGTGGCCTCTCCCGTTGTGGAGCACAGGCTCCGGACGCGCAGGCTCAGCGGCCATGGCTCACGGGCCCAGCCGCTCCGCGGCATGTGGGATCTTCCCGGACCGGGGCACGAACCCGTGTTCCCTGCATCGTCAGGCGGGCTCTCAACCACTGCGCCACCAGGGAAGCCCTGGGTTGGAGTTTTTAAAGAGCAGTTTTATTTGCATAAAGGGAAGATACTTGGAAGAGTGGTAGTTTTTCCTGATAGACCAGGCAGAAAAAAAACCCAGAGACTGTCTTTTCTTAATCTAGTCTAGATGGTTGTTTATATTTGGCAAGTTAACTTGGCTGGCAGGATTAGGTCCTGTGATTGGCCAGCTAACCGCTCTGCAGTATTCCATTTACATGGTATTTGTAATAGAGTTGTCTAGTTTTGTTTCTTTAAGATTGTACTATGTATATTTTACACTACATTTTTTCATACAATAGTACAGATCTGTTTAATTCTATTTAATGATTGAGTTGTATTCAGTATGTTATTTCATAGAACTTATACAACCTGTCCCTTCTTGATGGACATTAAAGTTATGACACAAACATAACAAAGTAAAGAATTCTCTTTTCCTCATAACCAAGCCAATATTGGTTGATGTCAAATTGCTGAGTGAGAAATAATATATGTTCTCTTGAATTTATGTCTTTCATGTTTTCTTCTATAAATTGCCTGTTCATATTCTTTGACTGGGGTTGCATATTCCACTTGTTTCAGGGGCCAAGATGATGAAGTAAATAAAATAACTGGGCAGGTGTAAAACAATAGAGAGTGAAGGGATAATTGTGGTGAACTGAAGATGGCACACCAGGTCTGCAAACACTCACGTCAAAATCCCAGTTAAAAGCAATTAGGTTATCTGTTTTTTCCCAATGTTGTACTCATTTTCACACAAGATTGCTATTTATCTTTTGTCTTATCCATTGCAAATATTTTCATTTTATATGTTACTTTATCACTTCTTCCACTATTTGTCTATGTTTTTACTCTTTCAAAAGAGTCAGTTTTGTTATATTATGAATAAAACAGATTTAAACTTTTTCTCTTGCAGAATAGAAACATAAGGTGTGCATTCCAGACTAGAGCATTAATTCTTCTTTTTTTTGCTTTTTTTTTTTTTTTAGTTGAGATATAGTTGATTTACAACATTATGTAAGTTTCAGGTGTACAATATAGTGACTCATGTTTTGGGGATTATATTCCATTTATAGTTATTAAAACATATTGACTATCTTCCCTGAGCTGTATGATATATACTTGTAGCTTATTTATTTTCTACATAATAGTTTGTACCTCTTAATACCTTACCCCTGATTTTGGTTTCAGAATTATAAGTCTTTTCTCCAATTTCAGTTGCTTTATGTTGTTGTTCTTTTTATATCCTATTAGGTTAAATGTTTTTAGTCTTTTTGGTTAATAATTAAAGGTCAGCTATCAAGAGTTTGACCACTTCTTCACCTAGGACATTAAAAAAAAATTAAAAATAGAATCAAATAATTAAAAATGTAGAATGTGGCTAAAGCCATATTAGAGGAAACTTCACAGCCTTAAATATTTTAAACAGGCTAGGATGAAGTCTTATCTTTCACCAGTATCCACAAATACAAGTGATATCATTTTAGTACATTTCCATTAATCTTGGCTCTAGTAATTTGAAACTTTTACTTATGATGATAGGATTTGAATAGAAACTTAGCTGTACTTCACAAATCCTTTACAAGCTGAGTCTAAATTATATAAACAAGTTGATAGAGAGTATATACATTTAAAAATCTTGTTAGAAAACTTGTTTTAAGCACCCTGTGACAATTTGACACTCCTTGTTACACATGAATAATTTATGTGCTAATTATTGATAACGTATGAATTGGCAAAATCAGTTAGCACTCAGTTGATGTAATTTAAATGTGTGTGTGTGTATATATATACATATTTACGAGAGTAATAAATGAATGCTGTAAAATAATAGAGCAATTTATTTTTAGATGGTAGTAAAATGAATGTTTCTTTTCTTTATTCAGTTCCTGTTTTCTTCCTCAGAAAGCAATTTCTGCTAATACTTCATTGTGTCTACTTCTAGGACCTTTTCTATACACTTATACTCATAGAC